CTTAGCCACCAGCCAGGTCTCTCTGTGGTCCTCAGCATCTGCCTTCACGCACCAGGAAGCTTGGTCCTCAGCATCTGCCTTCACGCACCAGTCGATCGGCCTCACAGTCTCACAGTTTCAGCGACACTCTTCCTGTTCTGCCTCATGAGTTTGCTATATCAACTTCTAGTCTCAATCTGGCTGCTTGGCTTGGTCCATCATCTCCATGCCAGTAGTCTCTGATGCCTCTGGTCTTGGCTTCAGCCACCTCAGGCAGAGATGTCAAACATGCGCTTTTCCGATGACCCTGGGCTTTCTCTCTCTATGTCTGCTTCTGAGATGACTTCATACAAAGGGGAGCAGTGGCTTTGATAGGTATCTGGCTTTCAGCACACCCTACCCCCAAAGAAAATAGAGGAGAGTGAAATTACATTGACTAAGGGAACACTCCACCTGTATCCTATAACAGAGGTCACCCTCCAAAATGGGATTCTAGCCAGAGGCACAGATTGCTGAATTATGGAATGATGGCAAGAAGGACCAGAGTAATTGACTCAGACAGCAAACAGTATATTGTCTAATGGCTTCTCTAAACTAAAACCTATTGTTGTCGAGTTTTTTCTGTCTGACCCATGGCCATCCCAAGTGTGTCAGAGTAGAACGGTGCCCCATGGGCTTTCAATGGCTGGGTTTCCATAAGTAAATCATCAGGTCTATTTCTCCAGGTGCTTCTGGGTACTCTCAAATTCCATATTGATTGATGAATAAACATGCAGGTTAACTGTTTGTACATTAGGCCGCTTATAATTAATTTCAAAAGTTGATTTAAAGACCAGTGTTTTGTGTACTCAGTCATTGAAACGAACATGCAGTGATGAGAGAAATTGATTAGCCTGAACTCCTTAGCAAAGATGTCATCAGAGAAGAGCGACTTGAGCTTGCTCACAAAGGAACGTCAATATAGAAAGATGGTGACGGACGCCTAGAGAAGACAGTAACAACGTTGTAGTGGAAACGGCTCGCCTGTAGTCGGGAAGCACTGAATGGTTCATTGTTACATATGTGTGCTGTGTACATACAAGTAGCTGTGCCTGGCAATGACTGATGTGTTCAGAACAGGTGTTGGCAGTGCCCCAGTATACCAGTGATATGATCATAGGGGTCATTCGAGGTGAAGAAGAATTGTATGTTGGAAGAGGAGATTGTCCCAGTAGGACACAAATGTTACAGGAAGTCCACGTATCTTGAAAACTTATTAAATGAGAGTGCTTTTATTAAAGATATCATCAATCTTCCTTAACCACAAAACTTTAACTTGAAAATCATTCTTTTCACTTCTTTTTTTGCTCTGAACAGAAAATAGGTGAGGATAAAGAAGGATAGGGTGAATAGCAACAGGTTTTATACCTGTCTGGGTCCAATTGAGGTGTTTTGGAGTAGGAAGAAAAGAATGAGACTTTGGGAAGCCTTCCAGGGTAATTAGCAAAACAAATATATGATCTAGGCTGTGTTTATGTGAAACTTAAAACCAAGGTATTTAAGACAAATAATTAAGAGATTATTGCAAGCAGAGGATGTAGAGGATTTAAATTGAGCCAATTGACCATAGAATTGGAGAAAACGAGGATGGGAAGTAGAATCTTAAATTCTTTTGTGCAATTATGATTTTCTCCTCTTACGTTCTAGATTGTTTCATAGCACCTGGAACAATATTTTTTTGCTTAATAAATGTTTATTGAATGTTTTTTAGAGAGTATTAGAGGTGTCTCTGAGGGTCTTTGGTCACCTTGAGTTTAGTCGAAATGAATTACTAGTATAGCAGTCTTTGAATGGCATCTGCGAAGGTTGCTTTATAGCCTCCAATGAATGGTCATCGAACCATTGGGATAGCCTTGTTCTTACAGGAGTTTGTAAACTACATTTTGATATTGGATTTTTCAACAGTATTTCTCATAAAATAGTTAATTGCTTTATATCAGAGGTTGGCAAACATCATCTAAAAAGAACCAGATAACAAATATTCTAAGAACATTTCTGGCTATATGACCCTTTGATGAAACAGCTCATCTGATATTGTATTATGAAAGCAGTTATAGATAATAGGAAAACTAATGAACATGGCTTTGTCCCAATAAAACTTTTATTTACAAAATCAGACGGTTGATCAAATTTGCCGCAGTGGTCATCATTTGCTAAACCCTGCTTTATATTAAAATGTGAGTATTATGAATGAACAGTACTAATCAGATAATTATGATACGTGAATGTATTCAAATGTAAAAGGAAATTTTAAAGTTTTAAACTACATTCTTTCAAGTTGAGACGAGATGAAAAAATAAAGTTTGAAATCCCTGCAGATTTTTCAGTGTGAAGTACAAACTACTATGAATTATACTTTATAATATTGTGAATACAAATGTTTAGCTGCAGAATTTTGCCCTCCCACCCACACTTTTGTATGTATGTACAAATGCAATATCTTGTCTTTCCCATTCAAATGAATTTTATCACAATTATAGGATGCTGAGATGATTCTCCAAAGTGGAATGATTGCACGTGCCACAGATGATGTTTTTCATTCTGCTAAGAAGAATAACATTTCTATGTTAACGTTTTTGAACATTTATCCCCTGCCTTCCTGCTTACTCTCCCTCTCACCCCTCTGAGAAAATGGTGTGGGGGTCAAGTCAGCTACGCAGAGGGGAAGGAAAACCCACCTCCACCTCTTCCCAAGGTGCTTCCAGTACGGCAGAGGTCAGACAGGGCCTCAACCCTGGATATCTGGATCCTCTACTGACATCCCCTGGCCCTTCCGCAGCACCAGACCTGTCAGCTGCATTTGAGAATCTATTGCAAGAGCCACCCAGAATTCACAGGCAATATTCATGTTCACGGGGTTTATTAGAGAAGGTATAATATTACAAGTTAAGATAAAAACTTTAAGGAGACTGCTTTTTATCTTCAGCACCTCTTCTCAGCCATGCTAGCAGGCACTTAAAACTGTTGCCACAAGGTCTCTGGCCCACATGGGCAACTCTTACAATTGCCTTTTAGTGTTAATAAATGTTCATAGGGCTCTCCACTCTGGAAGCCAGTTTCCTGTGAGAAGACACTCCACTGCATTCATTCTGTGGGCCAGTAAGCTCTTTGTGCCCTCTCAGAGTCTCAGTGCTGTGGCCTCTGTTGGCTCTGGTTCTGGTGTCCCTTCACACACACTGCCAATCCTTCAGGCAGCGATCACATGTGCACTCAGCTGGTGGCCCTTCTTTTTGATGGACACGGGGTTCTCTCTTCCTGCCCCTAGATGGCACACAAGCTGGCCACTGGCATGGCAGCACTGGTCACTCCCAGAGGTAGAGTCTGCTGCACCTTGTTTACATGCTCCTATTTGGTGAGAATTGTATAACGACTCTAGCCAGAAAAGCCACACCAAGTACATGTGCTTGACCTGGTCTTCATTTCCCTTTCTGGGCATTTCCTTCTCAATCGCACTATTTATTTTACCAAGTGTCGAAATGTCTGCGTTCTCTGTTAATATTTACCAGAGCTCCGTAGTCCTAACCCGGGTATCTAATGGATTTTCCGACAGTACACCTTATTCTTTCTGCCTTATCTTCTGAAAGTCCCTTCCTCTTCAGTAACCTGTACACTCACTAATCACTATTCCTCTAACATGTAATTCTTACACACAAAGATCTCACCAAACCAAATGCTAGTGTATCGACTACACCTCAGACTGACGCCATAGGACAGAGTGGAGCTGCCCATGGGGTTTCCAAGTCTGCAATCTTTGTGCAAATCAGACTGGCACACAGTTAAGAGGGAAGAAAGAGTAGAAAAATAGTGCCTTTTTTGTGTGAGTAAGAAAAAGCGCAAACGAATCTGAAGGACTATAGTTTCCACTCTTTTCTGAGGTTTTGTTGTTCTTAAAGATTTTCTTTTAAGTTGCTTCCAGTTCTTGTGATCTCTTTTATAGATCCATTATTATTTTAGTAGTATTTTTAAGCAAATGTAGAGATGGAGTGTTTTTAGTCACCCTGGGATGTGGTGGGGGTGGGGGGCTGCTAAAAGGGTGAAAGGCCACTTTTTTAATAACATTTTGGTAATTTCTCATTGCCTCTCTCATTTGATTATATCCTTATGATTTTTCTTCTTTGTGCTTTAAAGCCGTAGAGGATATTAACTCTTCTGGACAATAGGTTCACCTGTTAGAAAAATGTCTTTAGCTGAAATTTAGCCATCTACTTCTGAAAGTTTTATTTTATTAGATAAGTGCTACAAAAATAAAACATGATTATATTTATTGGTCAATTAAGATGATGTTAGAGAAAATATACAAAATATTGAGGCAATGGCATTATGCTATGAAACAGAATATTCTCTTCTAAATTTAATTGAATCAGAACTTCTAATCTATAATTTAATAAGTATATGCATGGGGAGAAAATCATGGTCATGGAATTTAATAAAGCAAAAAAGATGACAAAGAAGTAGGTGACTTAATAATGAAGGAAGGTAAACTTCCTTCGCCTAAAGCCTCCGGATTCAAAACAATCCTGAATGTCTTGAAGAAATGATATATGTGTACTAGTCATTTCTGGCATGCTAAGGCCAGAAAGGAGCCGTTATGTAGTAGGTAAGAAAATAACATCCATTACAACTCCCAAAGTTTGTAATAAAGAGTTGATTATACATAAAATCCAAAAACAATTCCAAATGGTAACCAAAAGAAATTCCTAAAAAAAAAAAAAGGTTGCAAAAAACAAAGGGGTCCCTGCCCGTCTTCTCAGCGGAATCTGAAGATGAGAACCTTAGCTGTTTAACTTTTGAGGAGGAAAAAATGTTTTTATTAAGGTACTTACTAAGCATTATTGTCATTAGTGTCATATTAATCAGCTAGTGATGCGTGCGGAGTAGGGACTTGCACTTTGAATCATTGAAGGAATTGCCCCTGTCAACCTCAGAGGCGCCCTAATACATTCCTCCTTGTCTACTACCAATATCTCACGGTGTGATTACAGCTCCCAACCCGTGTGCAGCTAATGAAGGCAAAGGCCCCTGCTCTCACCTGTGTCTGATCAATCACAACAGCAGCGCTGCTTGTGCATGCCCCCACCTGATGAAGCTTTCCTCAGACCAGAAGACCTGCTACGGTAAAGTTCGTACTTTCTTACTTACCTAAATGGAACTGCCTTCTATGTAAAAGGAATCAGATTGTACTCAGAGTAAAGCAGAAGGGGCTTAAGTTTTCTTGATTTTTTAAAATTAGGTTGTGCTACCTCCAGACATTATTAAATGATTCATCTACATGTAAAAGCCTGACAAAGTCCTTATGTACATGATATGTTGCAGTTTACTACCTTACTCATTCTCCCCCTGCTAGCTTTTTATTTGGCATATCAGCAGAATTTATCTCTGCAAAGCAGGGCGATTTGGAACTGAAAGTGCAATATCAGAGGACGAGGGTGGAGGGTACCTGAAGACAGAGAGGCTTAGCAGCCGCCTTCTCCTTGGACTCTTCTTCTAAAGCCACATTTGCATCACTCTATGGAGAATTATCCAGTGGAGGGGGAAGGGAGTGATAAAATAAAGTATGTAACTAGAAACTAATTTTATGAACTATTGAAAAGGCCTATTTAAACTAAAATATAAAGATAAAAAGTCCTGAAGGACAATCAGAGCCGTTTTTTGTTTTTGTTTTCCAGAGAGAGAGCCGTTTTGTTTTAAGTATTTTTTCTTTCATTGAAAGTTCAAGTAAGAGGACCCTGAACTCATTAATTAAAACAAACACATTTTTAAATAATAATAACATCTCCTATAACAAACATAATTTCAAAGAGAGCAACACAATACAATGCCCATGACTCCTGCTGTTGATATTTCACAAGTTCAGTGTGAGACATGTGCCTATGAAGGAAAATAATGAAATGGTTCCCAAAGTTTGTAATGATTGATAGAAGAAACAGGAATATAATTTGTAATGTCAGTATTAAATTTATTCAATGATGGTGTGAGAAAGTGTTCTATTTGATGAAAAATTAATACACTATTTTATTTAGGTAAAAATGTCATACATTCAAGAGCAAACATGTTAGTATGACAATTCATAGGGTCCATATGTTGTAGCAAGTTTGTTTGAATGTCCTGCTTTGAAAGCATGATAGAGAATTTCTCGTCATTGCTAGCAAAAGAAAAATGCTGACTTTAGGAATCCAAGTTATTTTGCATTTTTTTCTATTAGGAAATTTTATTGAAAATACATTCATCGCTTGTGCCCTAATGGCTCCATCAAATATTAATTATGATTTTCTGAGGTTAAAAAAATCTATTAACTAGCCTGCAAGTAATATTTTAGAATTCCTAGATGGTTTTTAACTTTCCAACTTTTTAAGAGAAAAACACTTCACATCTCTTCTTTTCCCCCTTTAGAAATGAAAAAATTCCTTCTTTATGCAAGGCGTTCTGAAATCAGAGGAGTGGATATTGACAATCCATATTTCAACTTTATCACGGCCTTTACAGTCCCTGATATTGATGATGTTACAGTGATTGATTTTGATGCATCGGAAGAACGTTTATACTGGACGGATATTAAAACACAAACCATCAAGCGGGCCTTTATTAACGGAACTGGCTTGGAAACGGTTATTTCAAGAGGTAAACAACCTGCACATGTTACAACTTAAACAATGCGTTTGTTATTCAATTTGTAGTAATCACAGGAACTTTTACAATTCAATCTCGATTATCCCACTCTATGTTGCTAATTGAATGTTGGAATTAATAATTCAGAGATTTAATAATACACTACATCCTTCAATTGTTGAATGCTGTAATTATATTGCACACAGTAGAGTGATAACTAGAAATTTACTTTCACAAGAAGAAAAATAAATGTGGAATGGACTTCCTTAAATATTTTTGCTTGCGTGGAGGATAGATAGGACATTGAGAAGGAGCAATTACTTCATTTTCAGTTTCCTTCTGAACATCATTCTTCAGAGAACATATCCCCATACATCTCTGGGCATAGCAAATAGACTAATCCATGGGTTTTCAATAAGTATTAACAAATTAACTAATAAATAGAGTATTTTTTCTCAAGGTATGTGTTTGTGTGTGTATGTGTGTGTGTTTGTGTGTGTGTGTGTATGTGTGTGTGTGTGAGAGAGAGAGAGAGAGAGAGGGAGAGAGAGGCTTGAAACTGCAATTCTTGAATCCTCTAAATATTTGTCATTGAATTATCAAAATATTTGCTTAAATGTTGGCCCATCATGATCTGGAGCCTGATTATTAGTCCTTTATTAAATGAGTCTTTAAAGAACTTTTACTATTTGCCATGGATGTACCAATATGAATATTTAGATGAAAGATAGGAGAAGAAGTTATCACTAAATTTACAAAGCTATATAAAATATCTATGATTCAAAGCAAAATAAAAATGTCAAAGTAGACCCTACTTAATCTCTTAATAAAATCAGTTAGAAGAACAGATTTAAATCTCAGTACTGTCCAAAGGAATCTTCCTCATTAAAACCTGGAAGACTGGCCTGAGTCTTTGCATCTGTTGCATGAATCTATCTGACAACATTTAGCACTAAAGCACCCTTGCATTTAGGATAGAGCTTTGTTAAATAAACTGCTTATAGCTGGTTGAACTAGTTCCCTGAAGCATGTCAAAAGGGAAGTTGTGCTTTAAAAAGTTAATGAAAATATTTCCTCTATAGGAGAATTTTTTTCCACTTGGGAGTGGAGTAGGGGGTAGTGATGTTTAAAGAAACATAATTAGACTGAATTTTAAAATGGAATCGCCCATGTAAAGGTCATTTTAGTAAGTTGCCCTTGAGCTGGTTGTGATCCTGTAATAGAAGAAACGATTGCCTGGTCCTTCCTATGCCATCTCTAAAATCTTGGGGAGCTTGCGTTCCCTACTGCAGCCACGTGGTCATTCCATCTCACTCAGGGTGTCTTTGGCCTTCTCTGGCCTTTCGATGTACCGTGCATACTGCCCTTCACCCGCAACCAGTTCCCCACGACAACTCCAAAGTAAGCAAGTTCGAGGCACCGATCAAACACGGTTTGCCCTGATTTTTGGAACTATATCTTCAGAACTGTCTTAGGCTCAAAGCTCAGCTGAAATCTGTCAACTATTTGTGACAATGCTCATGTGTGAAATACCAGCACAGCAGCATTAGCTTCCAGCATCATCTTGCTGTCACCAAGTTGATTCAAACTCATAGTGACCCTATAAGATAGTTGAGATTTTAAAATTTTACAAGCATAGACAACCTCATCTTTCTCCCACTGAGTGGCTGGTGGATTCCAATTGTTGACCTTAGGGCTGGCACCTGGTATAACGCATCATGCGACTAGGGCTTCTCTCCAGCATCATAGCAAGAAGCAATCAAGGTTGATGCATCAGAGCACATGAAGCTGCTTTTAAGATTGACACTCATGTAGGTCGATTTTGCAGGAGGAATTCAGCATCATCAAACATGAAGCTATTCAAGCCCTTTGCCATGAATGCAAAGCGATTTTGAATCGCATAGAACACAAGATGTTCTATATGTATATAAAAAAGGGGTAGACGGTTCATATTTACTTAGAGGTATACTAAGTTGTATAATTAATCCTTAGGGGTATACTAAGTATGAATTATTGTTTGATAAAATCTAATAAGGTCATTTTTATTAACATCACACAACATATTTCTACTTCTTGGACACAGTTTAAAATTGCTTGCAATAATTAGAGTCATAATATTTTCTCAACGATAATGCATACATCTGTGAGGATCAAAGAGTATTCGTTCAATTACTTGGAGGAAGACTGCATTATTGTCTCCGAACCAGCAGCCATCTAAGAGAGATGTCAACTTGGTCTACTTGGAAGAAGCACACCATCCTCAGCCAACAAAGGATTGGAATCCATAGAATCTGAAGTCGAAGAAAGGATACATGTCAGAGCCTGAGTTCTGAGACTCCGGTGTGCAGTAGGGGAAGGAACAGTGGGAGCTCAAGATTCATTTTTGGAACTCTAAAGGAAATTGGCCTCTGGAGAATTTCCCCTATCTAAAACGGAGGGCTAGGAGGAAAGTGGTTTCTAAGCAGAGCGCTGGGGAGAAAGCAGTGTAGAAGATCAAAGTCATAAATCTTATCTGAATAGTTCAAACTTTGTCAATAGATCCCCCTGTGATGCAGGCTGGACCGGATCTGGTTTTGTATTGTTTTGTTTATTCATAGTAGAGTGTATCTCAGAGATGTTATGTCAATGGTGGTCACCTTCTTAAAGCTGTGATATATGCGCTTCCAGTTTGCAGTATATGAAATCCAGGACTGATGAATCTATAGGCACAGCAAGTACAGAAAGGGGGTGGGCTGGGGCATGGGGGGATGGGAGGGGCACAGGGAAGGAGGCGAGGTAAAAGGGAGACGTTGTCAAGGAGTCTATGTACAAAAACAATGTTTAGAAACTGTGGTAGCAATTGTACAATTCTACTTGACATGATTAAAAATGGAATGATAAATCATATGAATTAAATCCCAAGTAATACACACACACACACACACACACACACACACACACACAGGAGCAACATTCTATTCTGTTCTTTAAGATCACTGTGAACTGAAATGTACTCAATGGCAGTGGGTTGATAAAAGGTGGCAATAAGGGTATTTGAGACATAGAAGTAATCTAACTTGAATACAGAAATAGAGCTAAAGTTTACGGGATAGTTGTGAAAATGCTGTTGGCATTAATTCAGGTAAAATTAAGAGGAATAAAAGTAGAGTTGCTGAAGATATTTCCCCAAATCATCAATGAGTTCTTTCTCTAAAATAACAATAACTGTACGTTTAGGAAATGAAGATTTATGAACCAATCAGAAATGTATGCTTTCGTCTCTAATTTTCAAAGACAACAACATAGATTTAGGATATACACAGAGGCATTCAAAATTTCAAAACATAAATTAAGGACACTAAAGACGATATTGTATAGGTTAGAAAAGCATTATGTTAATGAAGGCAGTTACAGGCTACTGTTAAATCATGTGCAATGTTCTGTATTTGATGCTGGGTGGTGGATATTCATTTTCATTTCAAAATGCATATACACATGTATATATTGCTATACACATAAGAGGGTTAGTCATAATATAGCTACAAAATCCCAGAAATCATTTTTAAAATAGATATCAAAATGTAAATCCACTATGAATCAAGAAATGTTCCATCTCTATGAACGAAAGATGAGGGTCTATACTCCTGTAAAATCGTCCAGACTCCGACGGGGGGAGTTCTACTCTGTCCCCGACTCGTAGTCCATTTGATGGCCCTGGGAAAGCTGGGCTTCCGTATCTCTCATCATTCCCTGAAGCAATGGGCGCCCTTTCATTTACACCACCATGTCAAGACGGCGAGGCTGGCATTCTTGAGGGAAGCAGATTGGAATCTTTTTTATCGTTTTAGATTGGGAACTATAAGAAGTCTGAAGGGGCACGAATACGGTTGTGGGTGAATGGAGTAGTTTCTCAAGGAAATTCTCGTAGGGCTGCCCTTTCTACACCAGAAAAATATGTGTGTAGATGTTCATGTTAGAGAAAAGAAATTCTTTTCTGTTTGTTTATTTTTGTTTTTTCTTAACCCCCTCACCAATGCACTTTCATTGTCTTTAAACGTCTTCACAATAATCCCGTGTCCTTGGAAGAAATGTACCAAGACGATCCCTCTGGAAGCCTCCAGAGGGCAGTCACTCTCACCTTCTGAGCAGACCTCTGCCTTCATGTAATGATGTACCTGGCTCAACCTTGGAAGGTAATCAAGGTTTGGACTGGACTAGTATGGTTGTTTGTTTTTTAAGGCATTCTAATAAAACGAAGATCAGACAATTACTGAGAGAACTTGTCTGCAGTCATCATGAATTACCACAGAAACATGTTTAAACACATTTCAATATTTGTATTAAACCGATGTGTGTAATAAACTTAACCCAGTGCTCGCTTCGGCAGCACATATACTAAAATAAACAACCCAAAGAGCAGTACTTTTTGACTTACCCAGGTGTGCATGTGAGCACTGTGTTTGTATAATTTTCCAACTGTTGCAATAAATAGAATATTTATTGATTATAAAGTTCCCTTGAAAAAGCTTTCAAAATGGATGCCAGCTGATTTTTTAAACTTTGTTTCTAGGAATAAAAAAAAAAAATTGCCAAAAACATACCTAAAATAAGTTTTGCTTGAATATCATGAGTTTTAAGTCTATTTACCTGAGGAGAGTTTATAAGAGTGGAAATACTTTTCTTCTTTGAAGGTATACCCGAAGACAGATAAAACACTTTGCACCCACTTGCAAGACCCTGATGTGGGAAATCTACATCTTAGATATAAAAGAGTGTGGGTGTGTGGGTGTACACTACCTGGGAAGGTGCCCTCGGCTCACAGTGAATATTTTTGTAAAGGAATTTTCGCTTGAACCTCATTTTTCGTGATGGCTGATTTAAGAGAACAGTGTGGAGCTGTGAAACTCTGTTTTCAGCTCAGGGAAAAAGTCCCAGAGACTGTTGTGATGTTGAACACATCTTAGATTCTAAGACTTAGAAGGCCAGTACTCTGGGAAAAACTCAAGTGTATGAGTGGTTTACTCATTGCAAAA